CTATGACAACCGTACAAGCGTGACCATGGCACATATTCCAAAATGTTTGTGGCGCTAATCCATCTCGAGTTCCACGTAAGATTAATTCAAATTTATATGGAATATTTTCTAAAGTATATGCAGTTGTCTTACGATCAATCCATGTAGAAATTTCTGCTGCATGTTCTTCAGAAATAATAGTTGAAAAAGATTCTTTTGGTTCTTCTGCACGAGGAGGTAATTCTGTAACCAAAATTGATCTTGGTGGCAAAATAGTTGATTTTACTGGTCGTTCAGGAGCTATTAGATGCTGATTGATATCTTTCCAAAGTTGTTTATCGAGAATCTTTTTATATGGTTCAATTTTGTCCAAGACATCGACACCAGAAAGATGAAAATAACGAATATAAGGTAGGCATTGTTGTAGAGTAGTCTTTAATGTAAGGAAATTTTCCTTTGTCCAATCATCAGGGTTTGTAGGAAGAGTAGAAGTTTGAGCAATTCCCCACGTGATGACATGATCCCAAATTTTTACTTCTTCCATCTGCAATCATTTCGCTTGAGAATAGAAACTAGTGCAGATCCTTCGAGAGAAGTAAAATCATCAGCATCAAAAATAAGGTTTGGGTACTTTATAACAATATCATTACAAAAATTTTTTAATTTTTCAAAATTATTTTGACTAAAGATAGAATGATAAATAAACGAAAAATGTGTTTTCAACCAGGAGCCTTTAGTTTCAATAAGAAGAATTTCTAATTTGTTGGTTAATTCCTCAAATTCAAATTCATCAGCAGCTAACATTAAATCATAAATATATCTGTTTTCACAATTTTCTAAATCAACAATTCCTCCATATATATATCTAAAAACAATAAATAAATAATTAATAATAAATAAATTTTGTAATAATCTTCATATTATTATTGATAAGAACTTACTGAAGAATAACATTAAAAATTTGAGCAGAAATGTTTGATTTAATAATTATTTTAATATTATTCTCATTTGGTTGAATATTTTCGAAAATAAGGTGATCGAAATTTCAATACGTTGGAATGTGCCGTAAACGATTTTTCCTTATTTCCAACTTCAATTATTACATTATAATCTTCTTTATCGTTGAGAAGTTCGATAAAATTTTGAGATAACTTGTCAAAAAATTTTAAAGACATATTTCTCTTTTAAAGACGGAGATAAAAAAAAATAGGAAAATAATTCGGATGTATCAGGTGTATCGAATGTATCACAGAGTCACGAATATTTTCTTATACTGGTGATAGTCACCGTTGGGCAAAATTAACAGGAATTATGTAACCCTACCCTATAAATTAATTAAAAAAAAAGTAATACAATTTTATTTTTAGTAGGATTCTAAATTAATTAAATTCAAATTCCAAATCTTGATTTTATAAGAATTCAAAATACTACGGTACTATCTGATGCTCTTCTTTTTTTTCATTATTTTTATTATATGCTCGCTCGAAGTCAGAAAAAAATAATGCAAATAAAGATTTTATTATCTGGACGTGAGTGAATGAATATGAATATATGTTTTTAACTTAATTTAATATAATATATATAATATGCTATTTTGTTTATATAATACATACCATGATATTAATGTAATGTTAATATATGATCTAATAGTAATAAATAATTATAATAATAATAATAATAATAATAATAACAGATAACAATAATAAGTATTAACTAATTAGTTAATATTTATAATAAATGATATTAATTAATAATAAAGATAAAATAGTTATAGTAATTATAAAAATGAACTATATAATATGTTTGTACATAAAAATAAGATAATATAAATAATCGATTAATTATTTCTTTATTTTAGTGAAGTGACATAATTAGCAGGAAATTGTCCCCTTTTTCCATTTAAGATACCTATAGATGTGATATAAATATTATAAATATTATAATAAATAATAATAATAATAATAATAATAATAATAATAATATTTTTTTTTCTTACCTTCCCACCATCCACTTCCAATATCACGATTTGTAACTTCTATTATATCACCTTCTTTTATCGAAATTTCTTCACGTGATTGAGCATCATAATCATATAAGGCTTGAACTATAAATAAATAATAAAATAATAAAATAATAAATAATTAATAAATAATTAAATAATAAATAATTAATAAATAATTAAAAAATGCACCAGGAATAATCATAATAAATAATTTTAATAATTAGTACCACAATCATCAGAAATATATTTAATATAAGCAGCAGGAACTAATCCTGATTTTCCATCAGTTGATGCCTATATTTAATATTTTAATAAATATTAAAAATTATAAATAATTATATAAAATTATAAATAAATTATTAAAATCATACCATGACCCAACCGGATCCATCTAATAATAAATAAAAAATAATAAATAAATAATAAATAACTAAATAAATAAATAAATGAATAAATAAAAAAAAAATAAATAAATTTACCATCAGGTTCTAAAACAGTAATGATATCACCAGAAGATACACTTAATTCAGAAGTACTATCAGCCACATGATCATATAATACATTTGCAGTCCATGTTTCTAAATTTTCATCCACTTCCACTTCCACTCTAGAAACTTTATCAACTTTACCAGTAGAAGCAACTGATGATGATGATCGACTAACAGAATTATATTTAGAAGGTTCTAAATAATTAATAGTAATAACAATTTATTTATTTATTATTATTATTATTATTATTATTATTATTATTATTATTATTATTAGAAAATTTACAAATAAAAATTACAAATACAAATTACAAACAAAATTCAATTGGATAATTACCAGACCGTGGTGAAGAATTGCTAGAAAGTGTTTCACTATAAATAGTGCCACGAGAACCATGAGCGGGACGAATATATTTCTTTTTTGTACAGTTGGGTGGTACTTTCATTTCACATTTGGCGTGACAATTATATCCACAATCTATTGACAAATAATTGATAAATAATTGATATTGATTATAAAATATTATATATATATATATATATTCACATATTATATATCGTAAATAATTATTCTCACCTTTACAAGTAAACCCTTGCTTAGCTATACCCCATATAGTATTTTGACACAAATCACATGTTGTCGGAATAGCGAAAGCTGCACTTTTGAAATCATGAGGTTGTATTCCAAATCCACTATCTTTATACATATATCAAAAAATAAATAAAATAAAATAAAAAATAAAAACATAAAAAAAAAATAAAATAAATAAATAGTAAATAAAAAATAAATAAAAAAAGAATATAATAAAAAAACAAAATAAAAATAAATAAAAAATAAAAAATAAAATAAAAATAAAAACCTCCAATAGCCTCTATAATAGAATCAACCTCCGTCTTATAAGCTACTAGAGAAGTTTCCAATAAAGTAACATCACGAATTGTTTCATATAAATTCTATACATTATAAATAATCATCATAATATTATAAATAATCACAATATTATAATATTATAAATAATCATCATAATAATAATATACACACTTCAGTTACGGTATCAGAATCTCCAAGTTTATGATTATTTTCATAAGCATCCTTTAATGATAATAATCCATCTAATTGCTTTTTTTTTGTTTCTATTTCTTGAGTTAATTCTGATAATCGTTGTCTGGATTTTGAAAGTTTATTACTAAGAAAAACACTTGCATTTTCATCATTAACTAATACATCCTTTGAAATAGATTTAATGAATATATTATTATATGAATTAATAATAGATTATATGGATTATATGGATTATATGGATTATATGAATTATATGAATTATATGAATTAATAATATAAATATTTAATATATAAACATAAATGTATATAAATAGAATATAATAATAAAAACTCACGTCATCATCAAAAGCGGAAGATGAAACAAAATCAAAATCCGGTGGTTCCTCTTGATTATTTTGTTTATTATATTTGATAAATAATTCCGAATCCTTACGATCATCAATAGATTGAACATCTCTACGTGTCGAATTCAAATGTTTTATAGAGTCATTAAGAACATTTAACTCTAAATTGACGCAATCATCCCATATTCGTTTTAATGCATTTGTTCTACTTTCATTGAGTTCTTGTAATTGCTGAGTGAATAAATTTAAATAAATAATGAGTTGATAATCATAATTGTAATAATAATAATGATAATAATTGTCGTCGTTAAATAATAAAAGAAATATAATTACATCAATAAGAGAAGGTATATCACTATTATAATATTTGTGTTTATGTTCATTCGTCATTCTTATTGACAAAATATATAAATTCTATAATAATGATAATGAATTAAAAAAAAATAATTAATTAATAATTAATAATTAATATTAATAGCAGATTTAAAATTATCAAAAATAATAAAATACTTTATTATTATTCATATCAATAATAGCTTCTTGTGTTTGTTTTCGTAACTAAAATATCGGAATAATAATTAATAATAAAATAATAAAAATAATAAAATAAAATAATTAAAAAAATAACAAAATAATTAAAATTAATAAAATATTTAAAATTAATAAAAATAATTAAAATTTATAAAATAATTAAATAATATAATAATTAATTAATAAAATAATTAAACACCTTTTCTAATACTTTTTCATCAGGTGCTTTTTCTTGTTTTTGTTGAGAATTTAATGCTTCTAAACAACTTTCATTATATCGAGCTTTTGCCTGTAAAAATTAAATTATTATAATTAATTTAATTATTACTGTATTATAATTAATTAATTAATATAATCAATATAATCAATATAATTAATAACTTACTTTCTGATTTTCTGAATACATTTTATCCCTTTCTAATGCTAATTTATTTGAAAATTGTATGTGCTGAATATAACAAAATATAAAAATTATATATAAATTAAATTATTAAGATAAATTATAAATTAAAAATTATTAAAATAAAATAAAATTATTAAAATATTAAAAATAAAATTAATTTATTAAATATAAAAAATATAATTAATTTATTAATATAAAAATACAATAATTATAAATGTAATATATGTAAATCATAATATTATTTAATAACCTTTTTTCTCATCTCTTCCTTTTTAATTGAAACTGTTTTTAATTCTTCCATTATTTTTGTTGATATTGATTCTGAAAATTTATATCTTTCTTTAGCCACATTTTCTGTTTCTTCTAAAATTCTTGCCCATGCATTTAAAAATGTACTTAAAAAAAAAAATAAAACAATAAGATAAAAATTTTTAATTCTAACACCATCACCGCCACACACACACACATATATATCACATCACATCAGATCACATCACATCACACATAATCCGTTTTTCTCTCTTTTAATTTAATTAATATCGATTAAAATTAATTAATTAATTAATTAATTAATTAAAATACCTAGGTTCAGATTTTGCCTCATTAAAATCTTTTTCACTTAAAGTATTAGCCACATCCCCTATTGACATGGAAATTGCTTTCTTTTCTTTCTTTAATAAATGTTTTTTGGCCAAGCCTTCTATTTTACTCGCATATTCCTTTTCTATTTGTGCTCGTTCTTTTACAAATTCTCGAAATTCATGCATAAATTGAATTCCATTTTGAATATATTGATTAACTGTTGATACTTGATCCTATAAATTAAAGATCGTAATTATTGGAATTAATATAATTTCGTGAATGTAAAATAATATTTGGTATTATTAATATTATAATAATAATTATTATTATTATTGTTATTACTATTATTATTAATCTGGTAATAATGATTACTAAAAAAAATTTTTAGTTATAAACCTTTAATTCAGATCCAAAGCTCATTGTTATCTTTAATTATTAATATTATTTTATTATAAATTTAATGATTCACAAAATAAAATATAGTATTTCGAGAAAAGGTACACAAAGAAAGGGATACGCACACAAAAAAAAAAAAAAAGGGGAGTAACACGATTATGTCATTATTACTCACTAGTTGGTTAAATTTCTTCTATGTATAATAATTTGGATTGCGTGAGAACAAAATAAAGAGAATAAAATTAATTAATTTTCATTTACATTTAATCTTGGCTGAGAAATTAAAATGTGAAATAATTCAGTAAATCTTATTTAAACTCCTAAAATTTTTTTTTTTTTAAAAAAAATAAATAAATAAAAGAACGATTTTTATTAATCATGCCTTAAACATATAGATCAATCAGATTATAATTTTTTTTCGGATCATTGATTAATTAAATTAATGCATATAAATATTTCTCGATTATTAAAATACATTAAAAATATGCAAGTTTTTTTTTAATTTAATATCTAATTTATTTAGATTTAGATCCCGTCCCCGACGGAAATTGATTGTTTTACTCCAATTAAACTATAAATATCTTTTTTTTTGTATTTATTATACTAAATGACTATTCATTAAAAAAAAAAAATTCTATTACAATAAATGACTTCATCCCATCCTATTTTTGATTTTAATGAACGCAAGTATATTTTTTTATGGTTTATTATTTATTATTATTATTATTTTTTTTTTTAAAATGAATGAAAAAAAAAATAAAATTCCTGTTTTTTCTTAAAAACATATTATGATAATGAATTTTTTCTTAATCAATCAATCCCGTCTCATAGAGCTTTAACTCTTATGCGGAACATCTATAATAGGAACTTGGAAAATCCCAAATTTAAATTTAATCCAATGATTAGATTTCTTTCATATTACCTAGGGGGGAGGGGGAGATATTAACATCGTTTTAATACTGTATACATTTCAATTTTCTTGGTTTACATGATGCGATTTTAGCCAATCACAATTCGAGATCGTGTTTAAATATGAATTATGAATTTCATTTCTTTACTCTTGTTATTGGCATTTTTAACAGATACAAAATATCTGAAATCATTAGAAATCTTTCTCTCAATCAAATTTGATAGGCATAATTAAATACTTGTAGGGTTAAATCAGTAAAAACTGTAAAACTTGATCAAATTTAAATCAGATCAAAGATTTTTAACCTATAATTATGAAAGCTTAGATCTATGGTTGGAATTTGATTTCTATATTTAGTAAATAATGTTTTATTATAAAAAGCTTAGCAATTTTTTACTATAACCTATATAGAGGTTCCGATAAAAAGTTAACCATCAAATTTATCATGCATATAGACCTAATTTACACAATGGAAACATTCTAAAAATAGAGCATTCCGAAATTAGAATAATGATGAATATATAAGTGTGTTAGTGTTACTATGTATTATATTTATAATGTCACATTTTTTTTTTAATATAAAATGTTGGAAATAATTTCTTCCTTCCTTCCTCGAAGAATTTAAAAAATTAAAAAATTTGATCTAGCTTTAATTCAATAATATTATCCGATTTAAATATTTAATATTAAAATTTTATTAATTTTTTTTCTATTATTTTACAGTATTTTAAATGTTATCATAAACAATTCATTCAAAATGAAAATGTTAAAACGACAAAATATTGCATCATTATTATTATTATATTTTTGTACTTTCGTCAATTTCTTTAATTTCACCAATGCATTATGGCCAATCCCTCAACAATGGTCAAACGGTAGTTCCACTTTGGTATTATACCCTAGCGTTGAAATCAAACTTACAATTATTTCTCCCACTTCCGAGGATTTATCAATAAAAACTAAGAAAATATTTAATTCAGCCAAAAATCGATTTCAACAATATTTGATTCAAGAAAAATATGTTTCACCTAATGTGAAATTTAATATTCCAACTCATCCCTCAAAAAAAATACTTCAATTGATAGAAATTGAAGTTTATGATGGAAATTCTGAATTAGAATTAGGAGTAAATGAATCTTATTGTTTAAATATTCCCGTTAATAATAATTATGATGATAATAATAACAAACCACTTACCATTAAAATCACGTCTAAAACCATTTTTGGTGCTTTACATGGTCTTACCACACTTTCTCAATTAATTTATTATGATAATAATTTTTTAAAACATAAAAAACAAAAACATAATGAACGTTATATTCCTTTCGCACCTCATAAAATTGTTGATTATCCATCATTCAGTTATCGAGGTTTATTATTAGATACTTCAAGAAATTATTATTCAATTGATGATATTTTAAAAACTATTGAAATAATGTCATGGAATAAAATGAATGTATTTCATTGGCACATCGTGGATGCTACCAGCTGGCCGGTCGTCAGTAAGAAATTTCCAAAATTGAGCGAAAAAGGAGCTTACGACCCAAAAACAATGATTTATACTAAACAAGATATTAGAATTGTTGACGAATATGCTAAATTAGTAAGTTTATTATTATTATTATTATTATTATTTTAATTTTTGTTCGTGATTAATTTATTTTACTTTTAGTAATTGTTATTTTTATTAATTATTTTTTATATTATTATTTTTTAAAGAGAGGAATTCGAGTGGTTCCGGAATTCGATATGCCAGGTCACACCCATTCTATTTCTGGAGGTTATCCTGAATTGTAAGCAAATATATATAACAATGATATAATATATTCAAATTAATACGTTTACTAATTTTTAAAATAATTTTATCGATAATATAGAATTTCTTGCATAAATGAACAACCTAGATGGGATTTGGTAAAATTTCTTATTTTAAATTTTTTATTTATATAAAAAGAGAAAGCGATAAGAAAGTATGTATGATTAATTTTTTTAATTTTATTATATTATCTAGTACGCCGCCGAACCACCAAGTGGTCAATTAAATCCCGCAAGGAAAGAAACTTATGAATTCATTAAAACTTTAATTCCTGAAATGGCTTCATACTTTTCTGATAAATATTATCATGCCGGTGGTGATGAGATTAAAACTAAATGTTGGGAAGAGGATGAATATGTTAAAAAATATTTATCAAGTAATTCTGGTAGTTCCACAGAAACCTTATTAGCAAAAATTATTGATGAAATTCAAAATACTGTAATATCGGCTCATAAAATACCGATGTTCTGGCAAGAAACAGTTGCTACTCATGATTTGAATATAACCAAGGATGCAATTATACAAGTTTGGTACGGTAATGATACTGTAAAAAATGTTGTAAACAAAGGTTATAAAACTATTGTTGGATCAGCCGAATATTGGTATTTAGATTGTGGTCATGGTGGTTGGGTTGGAAATAATATTAATGGAAATAGTTGGTATGTATAATTTTATATTTTACTATATTTTAACGACGAGATATTTAACGAGATATTTAACGAGATATTTAACTATATTTTATTATATTTAACCAATTATTATTATATAGGTGTGACCCATATAAAACCTGGCAAAAAATATATTCATTTAATCCAATTAATGGATTAACTGATGATGAAGCAAAATTAGTTATTGGAGGGGAAGCTTTACTTTGGTCGGAACAAGCCGATCCTAATAATTTCGAACAACTTTTATGGCCAAGATCATCAGCTGTCGCGGAAGTTTTATGGTCCGGTCCTCAAGGTCTTAATGTAAATGAAGCTTTACCTCGATTACATGATCTTAGGTTTAGACTTGTAGGACGTGGAGTGAAAGCGGAACCATTACAACCTTTGTGGTGTGTGCTTCATGGTGGATGCGATATGCCTAATTCTTAATCATATATATATACAAATATATTTCTACGTAAAACAGGATGCAAACTTTGGGTACACGTGATAAAATCAAATCAAATTTTATTCCGATATATATAGTGATATAATATTTATTTAAATATAATATTTAATTATAATATTTATTAATTAATTACATTTTCCCACGAAACGAATTTGAACAAACGTTCTTTTTAAAAATTATTTACATACATATGTATTAAAAAAAAGCTAAATTAATAAATTAGAACAAAAACTTAAAAAACCTCGCCTCATCGCATAAAAAAAAAGTGGTCTAATTTTTAATGAATTGTTCTATTATTCATTATTATTATTTATTAGTTATAGGTTAAAGGAAAATAAATAAATAGATATACATATAAGTAGCATAGTTAATAATAATTTAATAATACCCAATTATTTTTTTGTTAGATCGAGATCTAAAAATGATTGAGAAAAAAGGAAATGATTTTTGTTTTTTGGTAATCGCGTAATAAACGTAAATTATTTACATATTTATTTTCATTTTTAATTCAATGAAATAAAAATAATAACTTGTACTTGTATTGAAAAATAGATTATTTTTTTTTATTTTTCGTACAATTTTACACGGAAATTTTTTGGTAAAAATTCTTTGTTACATCTTGTTATACTAAAGTTTAAAACGATCGATAAACTCATTGTTGTCAAATGAGTTGGAGCAACTTTATTTTTAACTCAAGTTTTACAAAAAAATTTTTTTTTTTTTTTAAAAAAAAGAAAAATGTCTTTAAAATTCTTTGACAAGTTATCTCAAAATATTATTGAACTTCTTAATGATAAAGAAGATTATAATGCAATAATTGAAGTTAAAAATAATGAAAAATCGTTTACGGCACATTCCAACGTATGTATTTCCGATCGTCTTATTTTCGAAGAGAATTAGAAAATTATTCAGCCAAATGAAAAATATTATTAAAATAATTATCAAGTCAAACATTCTGCTCAAATTTTTAATGTTATTCTTCAGTAAGTTGTCATCAAAACTATATAAATGGTATTGCCTATATATTGAAATTTTACTATTATTATTTTATTTTATTATTTTTTATTTATTTATTTTTTTTAGATACATCTATGAAGGAATTGTTGATTTAGAAAATTACGAAATTAGATTTATTTATGATCTAATGTTAGCTGTTGATGAATTTGAACATGAGGAATGAACCAACAATTAGAAACTCTTATTTAAACTAAAGTCTCCTTTTCGAGATTCATTTTTTTTTTATTTATCATTCTAATTTTAGTCGAAATAATTTTAGAAATTTTTGTAATGATATTATTGTGAAGTATCCAAACCTTATTTTTTGATGCTGATGATTTTACTTCTCTCGAAGAATCTGCACTGGTATCTCTTCTCAAGCGCAAATAGAAGAAGTGAAAATTTGAGAATATGTCATCAAGTGAGGATTGCTCAAACTTCTACTCTTCCTACTACCTTGATGATTGGACCAAGGAAAATTCCCTTACACTAAAGACTACTCTACAACAATTTCTACTCATATTCGCTATTTTCATCTTTCAAGTATTGATAAAATTAAATCTTTCAAAAAAAAAATTATGGATAAACAACTTTGGGAAGATCTATTAATTCCATTAAAATCAACTATATTGTCACCAAAAACAATTTCGGATACAGAGTTACCTCCTCATGAGAAGAACCTAGAGAATCTTTTTCTATTATCATTTCTGAAGAGCAGAAATTGACCGTAACGTAAGACAAAGAAAACTGCATATACTTTAACAAAAATTCCTAAAAATTTGAATTAACCTTCGAATGGATTTGCACGACGAGTATTTGGAATATCTATCATGGTCACGCTTGTACGTTCGTTTTAGTAAAAGTTAAGGGAATAAATGGAATTGTTGGAGGTTATAATCCATTGGAATGGAATAACAGTAATATTAATAATAATTGGAAACAAAAGAAATTTTCATTTTCTCATTAAAAATTGTAATATTGAAAATTCAGTTCTAGAGTAAAAAAACCAATTCTTAATTTATGTTTTGGTAAATCTAATTTCACTTTAGATGATGGTTGCTTTATGGTGTTATGAAAACTGAAAACCTATAAGATCATCATCACCATCAGAATACTTTTCAATCTTTAATTATGAATCATTAAGAAACTACTTAAAAGTTATGTGCTTTAGAAATATAATAATACATATATTTATTATTGTATCTTCTATAACAGAATTTTTTTAAATCTACTCTAATTCAATATTTTTTATAAGTTTACAATTGATCCAAATAATGTATTAATTACCGTATGTCTTATTCTACTTCTTTCTTATTCTCCAATGTCTGACAATTTCGCAATAAATTAGTTATTTATAAAAAAAAATTTTTTGTTTGATATAGATTTAGTAAAACTATATTTTATATTTTTGTTATTTTTTTTTATCATTGGAAATATAGAATATATAGCTTTATTTTATTTAAATCAGTATGTAACTCATTTAAAATAGATCCTTATTTTCATGCTATTTTTTAAACCTGACCTGTTTGTTATGGAGTGTGGAAATGAATTGAAAATCAAATCTATAATATCTTTATTATGTACAAAACTTATCTGCATCTACATTTAACAAAACAATAACGAAAAATAATATCATAAATGTATAAACTTTTCAAAACAAAAATTAGTGAATCTTTATGATAATATCTAAAGATATATCAGATTCTTCAATAAATTAACTAAAATTAAAATAACATTAAAATAATCAACAAATACCTCGAGTGGTATTCGCAGATTCAGATCTGCAAGATTACGCACATGCATATTCCATATCGAAATATTTTTTATGGGAAAATACTTTGGCATGAAATTTTGAATCCGGATGGAAAAATTTGAAAGAAATATTCCTTGATATCCGGTTATTTGACTCAATGTATAGAAAGTCATAATAGTGTAATCTTAAATCTAATTCATCACTTGTAAAAGAAATTTAACAATTGTTGGATAATGAATCTAAATATATTAGAGCTCAAGAATAAATTCCAATTGCTGAATTGCAAAACATTTCCAAAAAATTCTTCAATCTATTGAAAATATAGTATCTGATTATCTTAATCACACAAAAAGTTATTTATATGTAAGCAAATGCGGGAATGCTTTTATTATGACTTGATTATATGCAATAGTAATCAATTTGTTTTTTATTAAAATTTATTTATAATGAAGGTAATTATAATAAAATTACTAATAAGAACAAGAGTTCAGGGTTAAGGGCGTTTTTATTTAATTATTAGTCTTTGTATTTAATTATTTATAATTTCTTGTCCATAAATTTATTAAATATAAGGTGTTTTTATTTATTCAGGTTATTGATTTTTGTGACCAGTTAATAATGAATAATTAATAGGTTTTTTTTTTTGTGTATTTATTTTATATTATGCTATAAATGTATTAAATTCACTGATGCTATTTTTATATTTTTCTCTTAATTTTTCATATTCAATAATTACATTTGGGTCAGTTTTGATTGAATCCTTGTTAAATGAAGTGATTTCTAAGTTGTTCATGATGTAGCTCTACTTAAGGCTACACATGCTTGTCCTCATGCAAATATTGTTTCATCAAGAGATACTGTTATATGAGGAAGTGTTAGCCCTTGAGTTTTGTGCACTGTCAGTGCAAATGCATTTTGAAGTGGAAATTGTTGTGATGTGAAGGAACTCCATTTACCCTGAAATAACTAGTATCTTTTACTACTATTACATTAGCAATACCTGTTTTTAATGGAAAGGCTACTTCAATGGTATCATAATCAATAATTTTTAAGACTATACCTATGGAACCATTGAATAACCCTTTAGTGAATAATGAATTATTAAGAAACATTACTCTTATACCTTCTTTAAGAATTATTTTTGTTGGAAAGTTTGCATAGTGACGAAATAATCTATCTGCTTCAGTAGGTGTTATCTGAGCATTACCCATATAATCAATTGCTACTGATTCATTAGGATGCAAATATAATAATAATTATAGTTATATATATAATAATTACATCTGATGAGATTTTGGCCATAAGTTCCTGAGGTTACACTTAGGCAATGATGAGTCAGACCGTAAAATGTTATTTCTAGTCAGTTTCAATAAATGTAAAATAAATCATATGTATCTTTAAAATTTACACCTAATTTATTAATAAAAGTTTATTGGAGCAAGACTCCATTGGATTTTTTTTTTTAAAAAAAA